GTTGACCAAAATGATGCATCTTTCATCTTTGAATCTAGGAAAGTTCCAGAAGCTCCACGGTTGAAGCTCCAAGCTGCAACAGAGTCTGGGTTTTTTTAGGGCTTGCTCAGCGCAACAGAGCTGGTGCAGGAAGAAGAGTGAGGAGAGCAGGTAGCCTGGGAGGATTCAGGGACTCAAGTCTCGTGTTCCTTGGCTTCTGGTCCAGGCACTGGGTCTGCAGCCAGGGGAATGGGCAGTCAAGAAGACAGACATGAATAATAAGAGAGAAAGGTCACGCGCAGCCCAGGCAGCCAGGCCAGAGGTATGTCTCTCTCGCTATGGCTTCTCTTCACCGAGCCCAGATGCCCAGCACACTCGGCCCTTGTGTGTGTGGACAGACCAGCACTAACCAGGATTAAGGGTCAGAGGAAGTATGGCTCCGTGGGGGCGTGATGAGCCCCTGAGAAACCCCAGATGAGCCAACACCTGCCTCCATCCCTCACTCTCCAAACCTTCCAAGCCCTTCTAAGTGGCCACCCCTTCCCACCCTCTCTGAAACCCTGAACGTTTCTCTAGCCCCAAAGCTGGAGATGAAGAGGGGAATTTGCTGAGCAAAGGCCTTCTTAGCAAACCTGCCAGCCAGCCTCCAAATTTCCCTCGTCTCACAAGTGAGCTCCCTCCTGGAAGTGCTGACCATGACCATGCATGATTCGGTACAGACCTGTCACTGGCCTGTACCTACTCTCCCTCCAGACCCTGCAGAGGACAGCCACCCCTGGAGGGAAAGGACTCGTGTCTTTTTGAGACCCAGGTTCTCACCCCACTCCCTTCACTGCGTGTCACCATCTGAGAGGACGTGTTTGTTTTTCTCCTTCCTTCGGAGCCTGCCTCTCCCACTAAGCTAAACTTGGGTGGTGGGCAGTGGCGCTGAAAGGGGCCAACTCAGTTCTGAAGCGAGCCTCCCAGCCCTGCTCTCTTCATAGGGATAGAGCCCAGTTCCAAAGCCTGACTTAGGCTCAAGGATGCTATCACTTCCATAAATCTGTGTTGATTATTGTCATCCTCTTAAAAACGCTGAAGCCACAGAACCATGAGCTCAAAATCCACATGGCTGATCAATACCCAGGTTGGTGCCAGGCACTTTCCGTCAGACCTGAGCTCAGCACAGTAGGGGGAAGAAGGACTGTCCTCTGGATCTACCCAGGAGGGCTGTGGGCAAACCAGCCCAAACACAGCTGCCCCCCTTCCACTGGCTAGCTGGTCCGCAGGCTTCTCTGTGGCAGAGGCCACGGAATAGCCTAGACTTCTTCTGGAACAGACCCTAAAGAGGCATGATCAGGCGGTCTCAGTTCCTACTCTTGGGTCAGAAGATCTATTGCTGTAAGTAGCATTTGGCAGGGGACTAGGTGGGGAATGGTGAACTCGGAATGACCACTAGCCTTGTCCCTATGTTCAGCAAGATCAAGGTCTGAGCTTTCTAAGAGGAGCCCTACCTACCGACCTACCTACCAGGGCTCCAGGTCATGACTTGCCGAGGAACTTTGCAGTGAAAGGGATCGTTATCTGCCCCTGCGCCCCCTACGGCTGCGCAGAAACCCACACATCCTTCAAGGCGCCACCTAGCCTGCCTGGTCTGTAAGGCACAGGGTCCAATGCAAAGAGAAAGCGAAAGCCAGGAAAAGTGTCAGCTTCAGGGAGGGGACAAGGGACAAAGGTACTTTCAGACACTGTTTTCCCTGCACGTCTACAGCTTAAGCTGTGAAATGGAAAGTTCAATACTAGTTTCAAAGCACCAAGCTGGGCAGGTGAATGCAGGAAGTCCAGCCATGGGCACCCACCCAGAGATGTCTGGAGGGCACCAGGTTGGGCGAATCCCTCTACAACTCACTTCAAAGCCAAAGGCAGCAGGAAGGATGGGCTGGGGGCCAGGGAGGTAGAGGGACTAATTAGAGAAGTGGCCAACGGGTGTCAAATTCAGTCAGGCCACATCCTCGAGCCCTACCTCACTACCTGCTGCTGTGCCCAGCATGGAGTTGGACACCTGGGTCTCTCTGAGGAGGGCAGGACTTGAGGCGTCCTACCCTAGACAATAAACACATTGTATTTCATCTATTTTCAATGAATTTACTTATTATTGTCTTGTAAGTGTGTAATAGGGATAGAGCTCAATTGTTTTACTTATTATTGTCCGAAGACCTCCAGGACCAGCCACCACCATGCGGAGACCACTCTCCGCACACATGAAAGTACCGGCAGAGGAACAAAGGCACGCGGATTCCGGGGCTGAGATCTCCAAGCCTACTTGGATCGGGGCTGAGCATCCTCCACCCAGATCCTCCAAATTCCAGTAGGCCGGGGTCACACCCACCAACTGGCCCCCTGGCGCCATGTAATCCCATCAATGGCGAAGACTCAGAGACTATAAAACCCAGCTCCCGGAAGCATTTGCAGCAGTGCGACATGTTATTATCTCATTCCTACTTTGGACAAACTGGCAGGCTACAGAATGTAACCTGCCCACACGACAGAGTCTGGCAAACTCCCTGTGGCATACCCAATATGCCAAAAACCAGTAACAATGAAGGGTCTCATTCTCCTAACTCTGAAAGAGCCTTGAATATGGCACTTTAAAAAAAAAATCTCAGGGTTAGGACGAAGGAAACGTTACTGGGGCGTGCTCGAGGCAATCGACAAATAACAGGATGGTTGTGATTGTGATTGTGTCTTGTAAGTGTGAAAAACTATGCACGCAGAAGGTTGTGTGTTCGTGGGCTCTCCGGACGGCTCTATTTCACCGCCCTCGTTCAGTGCCCTAGAGCCACTGTGTGTGGCCTGGATCGGGAAGGCTGTTGGCCAAGGGCAGAAGAACGAAGAGACGAGGGCCAGGCCAGTTGATCTTTGTAGCAGTTTATTACAAGGAAGTTTATCCCATAGAAGAAATTTATATTATGGAGGGCCTAGTTTCTCTCAAGCACATGTTCTCCTTCTAGTCTCTCCGTGGTCCATCTTGCAGCCCTGCTGACTGCCCCAGGCATAATATCTCCTTAAGGTGTTTTTCTCTTTTCCTCAGTCCAATAAACTATCAACTATCAACTATACCTGAGGCTATGCAGGAAGGACAGAACTGTGTTATCCTACAGTAAGTAACACGGTTACAATAATGCTAATGTTTTAGTATCGCTGTACAAAGTCTCACACCATCATCTAAGTGACCCCGCCCCCACCACTGTCCCTCTGTCAACTCTAGACCCCTCGTCTTTCCCACCCACCCATCCCCTATCCCCCGCCCATAGTTTGGTGATAGGTTTTGTAATCCAAGGCACAGGGATGACATTCTCTGGTTTCCTTTCTCCCTGTTGTGAAGTTGAGTGAGATCATCGGGGATTGTCCTTCCTTCTGGCTTATTTCATTTAACACAATGCCCTTCAGTCCCAACTATGTCACTGCAAACTGCAAGATTTCGTCTTTTCTTCTTATAGCTGCATGGTATTCCATTGTGTCTGCAGACCACAACTGCTTTCCCCATTTTTCCTCTGTCATTGGGCACTGGGGCTATTTCCCTAGGTGGACTATTGTGCTCAGTGCCACAATGAATGCAGGTTTCTATTCTTGAATTGTGTGTGCATATTTTTGAGTTTGGGCTGGAGCGATAGCACAGCAGGTAGGGCGTTTGCCTTGCACACAGCCAACCTGGTCGGCCCAGATTCGATTCCTCCGCCCCTCTCAGAGAGCCCAGCAAGCTACTGAGAGTATCTCGCCCACATGGCAAAGTCTGGCAAGCTACCTGTGACGTATTCAATATGCCAAACACAGTAACAACAAGTCTCACAATGGAGATGTTTCTGGGCCTGCTCGAGCAAATCGATGAACACTGGGAGGACAGGACAGTGCTATTTTTGAGTTTGCTGGAGCAGAAGACAGGAGGCAGAGTTACTGCATCTTGTGGGGGTTGCAATCTCACTGCTCTGAGAAATCTCTGCACTGCTTCCAGCTGAGACAGGACCAGACGACACATCCGCCAACAGGGAGTGAGATTCGCGCTGCTGGTTCCCAGTCTTTCTCACTGGTATGCAACGGCCACTCACAGTCATTCTGATTTTCATCTCGCTCAGAAGAAGTGACGATGAGCACTCTCTCGTGAACTTCCTGGCCATCCATACAACTCTCTATCTCCCCTCCTCGTCTGGTTTCTTGTTGATTTTGTGAGTGCTTATATATGCTGGGCTAGAGCGATAGCACAGCAGGTAGGGTATTTGCTTTGCACACGGCCGACCCAGGTTCGATTGCTCCGTCCCTCTTGGAGAGCCTGGCAAGCTACTGAGAGTATCCCACCCACAAGGCAGAGCGTGGCAAACTCCCCATGGCGTATTCAATATGCCAAAAACAGTAACAACAAGTCTCACAATGGAGACGTCACTGGTGCCTGCTTGAGCAAATCCATGAACAACGGGTGGACAGTGCTACAGTGCTTATATATGCTATGAACCACAACATAATAGATAATACTAGTCCTTGACCTGATGAAGAAATATAACTTTTTAAAAAAAATTTTATTAGTGAAACACCATGAGGTACAGTTGTAGATTTACAAATTTTTGCGCTTGGGCTTCGATTATACAATGATCAAATACTCATCCCTCCACCAGTGCCCATTTTCCTCCAACACGGGTCCCAGTATCCCTCCCATGCCCATCCCCCTCATCCCACCCTGCCTCTGTGGCAGGGCATTCCCTTTTGTTCTCTCTCTCCTTTTGGGTGTTGTGGTCTGCAAAAGAGGCATTGAGTGGCCATCATGTTAGGTCCATAGTCTACTTTCAACATGCATCTCCCCTCCTGGGAGGATCCTCCCAACACCCTTTATTTGGTGTTCCCTTCTCTATCTGAGCTGCCCTTTCCCCTAGAGTGCCCGGCTGGCCTCTAAGCTATGGAGTAATGTTCCTGGTACTGATGAAGAAATATAACTTTATTTTTTTTAAAGTCCAAGGAATTTTGCCCTCTCTGGTCATCATGGCTGGCAGGCATGTGGCTGGAGGGCCTTGGAAAATGGTATTACAATGCAGCGGGCTTCAACAAACTGGGGCTAATGCATGATGATATGATGTATGAGGACGAGGGTGTGAAGGAGGCCACCAGGAGGCTGCCCAAGAACCTGTACAAAGACAGGATGTTCCTCATCAAGAGGGCCCTGGACCTGACCGTGAGGGCCCAGATCCTGCCCAAGGAGCAGTGGACAAAATACGAGGAGGATAAATTCTACCCTGAACCATATCTGAAAGAGGTTATTTGGGAAAGAAAAGAGAGAGAAGGGGCTGGAGCGATAGCACAGCGGATAGGGCGTTTACCTTGCACGCAGCCAACATGGCCAACCCGGGTTTGATTCCCAGCATCCCATATGGTCCCCCGAGCACCGCCAGGAGTAATTCCTGAGTGCACGAGCCAGGAGTGACCCCTAAGCATCGCCGGGTGTGACCCAAAAAGCAAAAAAAAAAAAGAAAAGAGAGAGAAGACAGAGCAAAGAGGTAATCATATAATCTGGATGCAGCTGTCCTCAAAAATTTTTATGAAGTTGGCTAAAACTGAAACGTACAATCTTGAACTGATCTGAGCTGCAAATGGGTACATGACTTTAAATAAATATCTGTAGTAATTATTGAAAAAAAAAGTCCGAGGAATTTTATTTTATTTTTATTAGTGAAACACCATGAGGTACAGTTGTAGACTTGCAAACTTTTGTGCTTGGGTTTCAATTAGAAATAAAACTTTAATACTTTAAACCCAACCTGCTCACAGACAAGAACCGCCTTGTATTTGGGTGCCCAGAACACCTGCCTTTGGAGGGGACAGTCATTCTTCTCGTCTTGGGTGAGTCATTTCCATCCCTATTTTCTGCTGCGCTGGCTGGGACACTGAAGCCGTCATCCACTCAGCATTGTTGTCTTTAGAGGCGTGTGTGCGTGCGGGCACCACTTCTGTCATCCACACACCCGCTCACCCCGCCAGAAATGTCCTGGCTGACCCCAAGCTCATCTGTGAACTCGGTGACTTTCCTGGTCCACCTCCTCTTCCCCTGATGAAGTCACACTTTAACGGGAAAGGGCCGGTCCTGGTGTCCTCCCTGACCCCTGACCTTCTACCCCAGGTCAGCAGCACCTGAGTCTCGGCCCAGTTCACTACCAACAGCAGCAACTGCAGAATGCAGGAGGGAGGGAGGTTGCTGAGCCGTCTGCTCCCCTCCCTCCTGACCCCCCAAATCCACCATCTCCCCAAGGGCCCCGTCCCTCTCCAGCCTCGCAGGGTGAAGACCCAGAACCGGGGACAGCCCAGAGAGTTGTCTGTGACACGGTGAGCATCACGCTCAATCATTAACCCAGCCCTGGTTCCAGCACGCACCCGGCGACCTCTCACCCCATCCTGGGGGCAAACACGCTCTGTCCCTCGGAACCGAAGCCACCAGTCACACCTTTCACTCACGCTCACGGCGATGTCCTGGGAAACGCAGCAGGTACAACAGGTGCTGATGGGACAAAACCAAGAGGAAGACTGGAAGAAATAGACTCGAGCAGGGGCTGGAGCAATAGCACAGCGGGGAGGGCATTTGCCTTGCACGCAATTGACCCGGGTTCGATCCCCAGCATCCCATAGGGTCCCCCGAGCACTGCCAGGAGTAATTCCTGAGTGTAGCGCCAGGAGTAACTCCTGTGCATCGCAGGGTGTGACCCAAAAAGCCCACCCCCCCAAAAAAAAACAGACTCAAGCAGCCAAATCAGATCATTTGGCATTAAGAACCATCGCAAGCATACCCCCTCCCTCCAATTAATACCCACCACCGGCTTGGTCAAGCCTTCACCAGGACGCTTGTGTCTGCCAGCAGCCAAGGCTGGTGGGGCCTGCAGAAGACCCCCCAGTCACCGTGACTCCGTCTCAGCAAGTCCCCTGTCACTGCTTTCCCAGAGCTCTTGCTGGCTTTGTTGCCGGCTTCCAAGCCCCATCTCAACAAGCACTTCCTAATCACCAGAGCCTGGTGGAGCTGGTGGGGTTGGGGTTGAAATCTTCCTGCAATGTGCTTTTGGGTTGATGCAGGGGCTTTGGGGTCTCACCATGGAGCTCCGATTCCCTTATTTCACTCACGGGGCATCTTTCCGATTTCTCTCTCCATCACTCATGACTGGACCTCCCACTGGTTCTCCCTGGCACTATCATTAATGAATGGAAGATGTCCATCTGCCACCAGTGTGCCTGAGCCCTGGAGGAGGATACGTGGGGCTCCCCGGGTCCAGGAGGGGCTGGGTGCCCAGAGATGCCCCTCCCCCACTCATTAATTACTCCCCAGAGAATATTTTGCTCCCGACAGCTCTTGTGCACCCATCACAGCCGTCCAAGTCAATAGGATCACTATCACTATCCTCCCGTTGTTCATCAATTTGCTCAAGCGGGCCCAGTAACATTGTGAAACTTATTACTGTGTTTGGCATATCCAATACATCAAGGGGAGCTTGCCAGGATTTGCTGTGTGGGCGAGATACTCTCCGTAGCTTGCCGGGCTCTCCGAGAGGGACGGAGGAATGGAACTCGGGTTGGCCGCATGGGCCACCTGCAAGGCAAACACCCTACCCGCTGTGCTATCGCTCCAGCCCAAGTTGATAGGATGCGATTCCGAATTTCAGGCCCACATTCCCGTCCTAAACGAGTCGTCATACTTCACTGGAGGGGAAATCCCATCAACACAGGGTTTAAGCACGATGCCCTGAGCCCATGTCTGCACCCTCAGAGAGCTCATGGAACTGCACGTGGAGGAGGAGCAAGCTGGGACAGCCATAAATGGTTTCTGAACGGGCAGTTGCCAAAAATGACTTGGAAGTCAACTGCGGAAGGGGTCCCCCAGGGCAGGACGCGCCGGGGTGTGTTTCTTGATGCCTTGTTTCTGAGAGACGAAGAACTTCAGGCCACGGAGAGTGACCGTTCCCAGCGAGAGGCACATCTCCCATCTGGCCACTGACAGCAGCCGCCGGGGAGTCAGTTCCTCGCAAGACGGTCTCCAGGCTCGAAAGGGCAGTGGCGAGGAGGAGCCGTCTCTCCCACGTGCGGGGCCACCAGGGCGGAACTGGCACGGCTGACCCTGCACCTGCACCACCTGCAAGCGGTCACCGGGTTCGAGGCTTGGCAAGGTCGGGACGTCCAGCCCAGTACGTTGCTTCTCCTGGCCTGCACCCGTTAACCTTGTCTCCACCAGTTGGCCCTTTCCACCCCGCCCTGCCCTCTTGTTTGTCCTATCAGCCCAGGCGGGGACAGGCCGCCTCTCTCCACCCGGGAGTGATGATTCAGGGCCCTCGGTGACCCTGCCAGGACTGTGCCCCTCCCCCCCCACGCGCCCAGCGGGAGCGCCCGCACGTGTCTCGCTGACCTCACCCCTGCACAGGAAAGGTCCCCGGCCCACCGGGGCAAAGGGCGGAGGAAGTTGGGACGGAGGGAGAGGGATGGTTGGTCCCTCCCAGGGACACCGCCTGGGGTCGTCCCAAACTCTGCCCGCTGCCAGCGCCGGAGTTCAGTGCGGAGAGACCCCCGGGGCCCCAGCACAGGGCAGGAGACGCCTCTGATCACCTCTGCCCCTTGGGAGGAGGCCACCCTCCACTTCCCATCTCTGGCTCTAGGACTGGGGCCTTCCTTGGATTTTCCTTGGTAGAAGCTAACGGGATGGGAAGGTGACATGGGACAGGGAAGGGCCTCTGGCTTTTGGGAGAGACCGAGACTCCCAGAGGGACGCACAGTCCTCCGGGTGAGGCTTCTGATGGGGACGGAGAGGGGGGCCACGTCTGTCCTAAGTCCCACCTAACAGTCGTCTTGAGTCTGAGCCCAGAAGACAAGGAGGGTCCAGGTCTCGCCACATTCTCCTTCAGCACCTGGACAGTGCACTCAGGGCCAAGGTGGAGGGGGCAGAGGGAGATGGCTTCACCGGGTCCTTTGGGGGTCACCTTCCTAATGGACACTCCCTCCCTTCTCCCCAGACCCCCTGTGGCCAAGTGCTCTCAAGAAAGAAAAAATTAGAGAAAGAAAGCATTAGAGAAAGACTTAGAGAAAGAAAGAGAGAGAGAAAGAAAGAAAGAAAGAAAGAAAGAAAGAAAGAGAGAAAGAAAGAGAGAGAAGGAAGGAAGGAAGAAAGAAAGAAGAAAGAAAAAGAAAGAGAAAAGAAGAAAGAAAGAAAGAAAGAAAGAAAGAAAGAAAGAAAGAAGAAAGGAAGAGAAAGAAAGAAAGAAAGAAAGAAAGAAAGAAAGAAAGAGAGAAAGAAAAAGAGGGAAGGAAGGAAGGAAGGAAGGAAGGAAGGAAGGAAGGAAGGAAGGAAGGAAGGAAGGATTAGGGAAAAGGGAGTGAGGAAAGGAGAGAGAGGGATGGAGGGAGAGAGAGGAGGAAGGAAGGAGGAAGGAAGGAGGAAGGAGAGAGAGGGAGGGAGGGATGGAATGAGTCAATCTATGCCAAAAAAAGAATGAAAGAGGAAATAAACGGGAGCGGGTGGAGGGAAGAGAAGACCCCAGCCGGGTGCGGGGGCCTGAGCGGGTTTGGGGGGGGGGGTCCCCTAGAATTTCTTCCCACCAAAGCTCAGCAGATGTTGCCTTAGTGAGAAGCAGGGCTCGGGCTAGCGGGCCCTCCTCTCTGATGAGCTGCAGCTTTTGTTATTGATCCGAGGCCGATTAAGAAAGAAGTGCAGCGTGGGGGGCGATCTTGCTGGTCTCAACAAATGCTGGGGGGCGGGGGTGGGGAGGGAGGGGAAGACTCAGGCCGACGCTGCCACCTGCTGGCCATCGCGGGGAAGTGCAAGAGAGTGGCGCGCAGGCGCTCATCTAAGGCCAAACCCAGACCTTCTTCTCCTGGGAACTGAGTGAGATTTGTGCCATTGGCAGACCCGATTCTCCCCGAACACGGCCGACGCTAGCAAATTTCCCCCCCTTTGGAAGATAGAGGGTCTCTACTGTCTCCACGAATGCAGGAACGTACCTCAAAGGGCAGGACTGAGAATCTGAGCAAATGCAGCAGGATGGCTGGGCCCCCAAACTCTTCTTAACTGGGGGAGGGCTGGAGGCATGGAACAGCAGGGAGGGCACTTGCCTGTAAGGTGCTGACCCCGGTCCCCCGAATGGCCCACTAGACTCCACCCGGAGCAAGCCCTCAGCATAGCTGGGTCTGACCCCAAAACAAACAATAACAACAGCAATAATTGGACAAGGTGTTGGATGTTCCTTAATTCTTAATTCTGCTTCCTTAATTCTTCACAATCAACATCACGACCATCCTGTTGTTCGTCGATTGCCTCGAGCA